GGAAGGTACGACAATGACGGCATCGTCGGAGAAGATGTCTTCAAAATAGGAGGTAGAGGTCGTCCACAGAAACAATATAAAGTTAGGTTTTCCTCTCAAGAGCCAGAGGACGACCGCTGTTTCACGCGAACAAAACTTCTAGAGACAGCTCCCAATATAGTCCGAGCCTATGAGAAAGATAAAAAAGGGAAAAGTCCTGCCTTGGACTGAAGTATTCTCGGAGGACCTCGAATTTAGGCCGGTGGGAGTGAAACGGTTTCCACCTTTTGCAAACCAGATGCGGATCCCAGGGCTCGATCCCCAGACCTCACCTTACCTTACCCTACCTTACCTGTGTACAGTATCAAGTCGATCTGTGAGTTTTTGAACCCGTGACCTGTGTGTTAGTAGTCGAAAGTTGTCTGTCGTAGGTCTGAGTAGTTGTCTGGTCTTGAACCTTAGACCTGTCGAAGTAGGGGTCACACCTGCATTGGGGTCATCGTTGTTGTAGTTTTGAAAGGTCGTAGCTGCTAGAGTCCTGAAAGGTCAAGGTCGTAGCTGCTACAGTCTTGAAAGGCCAAGTCCACAAACTTCCGGAAGGTCCACAAGTGGCCTTTCAAGTTTCTTCTCACGTTATACACACCAGGCCAGAGGCAAGTGGGCAAGTGGTGAATCCAACTTCGCTTAGTCAGCGGTACCCAGTCCCAGTCTCACTTTGAACAGTCAGCAAGTACTATGAGGGACTGTGTGCACCATGAGCCCGGTGGAAAAAGGGCAGACCAACGACTTACAGAAGTATAAATCAAGAGGCAGCGTCCAGCCATTCATTCATTCCTGCGTGAGCCATGCGGAAGCGCTGCCCTAGCGTTTTGTGCGAGGTGGTCTGCAGATGCCCGAGGACGAAGTGGGTCGAAGGAAGATAGAGTATCCATAGCTAGTAGGGGTTAGGCGGCCATAGCCGCTGTAGCTTAGAGGCAGAGTTCAGTGTGTGTGTGTGAGTGGCAGAGTGTATGTGCATGGGATATCCAGGGTGATCCAGAGACGAGTACGTGTGAACCGTGTGACGAACGAAGGATGCGTGTGAGCGCTCAGCCGCCATAGCCAGATGGAAGCAAGTTTGTAATGATTTTGTGTTCTCGGCTTGATTATCTCTGAGCTTTGTGTGGGCGCACAACACCAGTGTGTGTGCGTGGGATATTCAGGGCGATCCAGAGACGAGTACTTGTGAACCGTGTGACGAACGAAGAATGTGTGTGAGCCTCAGGCGCCATAGCCAGATGGAAGCAAGTTTGTGATGGTTCTGTGCTCTCGGCTTGATTATCTCTGAGCTTTGTGTGGGCGCACAGCGTCAGTGTGAGTTGTCATCTCTTTGCATGTATTCGAAGTGAAGAAGAAAGCAAGTCTGATTGCAGATGGAAGTCGCTAACCTTATACTGTTCATCTGATTCCTGCAGCATTCGAACTCATCTTCTGTTTTCTAACAGCAGGAAATTTCCGAGAAATGGTACGATATGGGCAAAACTTCGCCGCAAAAGAGTTTTTTGCAGATATTACCTATTACCAAAAAACCTCCCAGGCATAATGGGAGGGCAAACAGTGCATAAACCTCCACAAAAGCAGTCAACAACCACCTTAGAGGGGTATCACATGGTTGTTGGTTTTCTTCTTTTCGCTTCTTTTTCTCACAGGGGTATCACATGGTTGTTGGTTTTCTTCTTTTCGCTTCTTTTTCTCACAGGGGTATCACATGGTTGTTGGTTTTCTTCTTTTCGCTTCTTTTTTTCACATGGTTGTTGGACTGGTGGAATAGGGAGTTTTTTTTTTATAATTATTATTATTATTATTTTAGAAAGGCTCCAATCTCTTGGTGAGGAGCTGCACCTGCTGGAAACCGGGTCCAGCGTCCCTTGAGATACATCATCTTTTCAGAAAATTTGAGAAATTGAGAACTTGAAATTGTTGGAAGTTAGATCGTGAGCGTTGGTTGTGACCAATCTCTCGAGACTCTCGGATTTTGCATCTTTTTCCGTTATCATACTGAAAGTTTGAAACCGCCGATTCTATAGTTCTGCTACCCTCCCATCCCATCCCATCCCATCCCATCCCATCCCACTTCATATTTGGTAATCAACCGCTTCAGCCTTGTATGGCCGCCAGAACAGACAATATCAACTAGCTGGTTACAGCATACCAAAACCATTATCCTCCTCATTCATAGCCAAACCAAATCATGGGGACCAGGGATAATGAGGAAGGGAGGAAGGAATATGGGAACTCTGATAGAGGGCGAAGGGGTACTGTTGGGTCCACGTTTTTCCAATCAGGCGGTAGTCCTCTTGAATTTCTTCTCTTTGCTCTTCTTTGTTCTCTTTCCTGACCCCACTCTCTTTGACATGTCCCATCTTACCTCCTTGAGGTCCCCCGAGCCAAGCACCACCGAATAGTTGGATATGTTGTTGGATTTTTTTTTTATTCGACAGGAATTGGATTATTTTCTTTTCCTTTGTCCCATTGAGCCGTGATAACATTTTGCACCTGCAACTTGATTGCCTCAGTAAAATCTGGCCCATCCAGCCTGGTGGGAGGAAGAATAAGTGGAAAGCAATGACTCTAGATTTCTAATACAACTGACTTGCGGAATAGTGACTTTCCTGCAGTTGCCCAAAATATCACAATGACACTAGATTTCTAGTGCGCTTGACTTGTGGGATACTGGCTTTCCAACAATCACCAAACACCGCAATGAGAATAGATTTCTAGTGCAATTGACTTGCGGGATACTCGCTTTCCCGCAATCACCAAACATTGCAATGACACTAGAATTCTCGACTCGTGGGATAATAGCCTTCCCTGCAATCACCAAACATTGCAATGACACTAGATTTCTAATGCAATTGACTTAAGGGATGCTGGCTTTCCTGCAATCATTAAACGTTTGAAGTATTTATGTTAGCTTAAAAGGTGGGGCATACTTCCCTCCGCTCCCCCTCCCCCCTCCTCCCTCTGCCTTTTACCAATGACCCCTTTCCCCCAAACCAACAAATATGTTCTGCCAGAAAGCTTGTGTTTGGCTATGTGACCATGGTTTCTGGTGCGCTGTGTGAGGCATATTTTGTTGATATTGAACGCCGAAGGCAGGCACGAAGTGCATCACGACATGCTGGACACGAAAGCAAGACGCAAATTGATAGACTTTGAGGTAGTTACGACCAATCCAAGGAACAAACTTGGTGGACAAGCGCAATCAATCAAAATAAGGCGACTAAAGTGTGCCCCATCTTTTATGTTCAATAATTGTTTCCGTACCGTCCATGTAAACCGATATGTGGTTAAGTTCCACAACAACGGTTGCCTCTTCAACCTTCCAGTCTACTAAAGTATCCGCCAAACTGTGCAATTCAGAAAAGGTAATTCAACAATTACAACAAGTACAAAGGCACACCTACTTTGTCATTTTGACTTGGAAGTCTTTCTATATTTTTGCCCTACTTATTCTTCTTTTCGTTTACCTTTTCCCACTTTTATTTTTGTTTTCGAAAGTTTATTACGACTAGAAGAAAATTCTCCAAATTTATGATCAACCATATCTTCAATAATCTGCTCCATTCTTTTCTTGACTTGGCAGCGAAGCTGATATTAAGCAGAGAACGGGTTTTGAACCCTCAACCTTAACCTCGGCGAGACAATACTCTACCATTAAGCTATTTCCACAACCAATCCACTTTATTCTGTGGTCGCGGTGAGAGGCGGAAGGAAAAGAAATGAAATGAAAATGTTATTGTGAGTGCCACTCGCCAGCAGAGCAGAGTGGGCCCAAGTTAATTCGAACTACTGACTTTACACTTATAAGGCGTATACTATTAACCGCATTACAGACCCATGCTTGGAAAGACTTGAGCTCTCAACCCCCATGCTTGGAAAGACTTGTGTTGTCAACCCAAAATTCGTAGTTTACTTTGTGCTTAGTCATGTTTGAATTACCTTTTCTGAAATGGACATAGTTCGATATGGTTTGTTTTTGTTTAGGTAACTCTATTGATAAGAGCGAAGGACTTAAACTCCTCATGTCCGTGGCTCAAATCCACTTCTAAACAGGCAACATCAATCTATTAACCACTATTGTTTTTGTTTAGGTAGCTCTATTTGTAAGAACGAAGGACTGAAACTCCTTGTGTCCGTGACTCAAATCCACTTCTAAACAGACAACATCAATCAGTTAACTACTATTGTTTTTGTCTAGGTAACTCTATTGGGAAGAGCGAAGAATTGGAACTCCTCGTGTTCGTGGTTCAAATCCACGTCGAAATAGGCAACATCAATCTATTGAGTACTAATAAGAAACTCGGGCAACTTTAAGTAGGCTAAGTGCGGATTCAAACCATCATTCGTGGATTTGCAGTTGATTGATGCAAAATGAAGGTGCAAAGCAAATAGTTTTTCTTCATGAACACTCCTAAAAAAAAAATAGCGATCATCGTGTAACATTACCCCGTGTGCCCAACAAAAACCAATTGGGAGGTGGTACCATTGGGGCACAACCATTAAGAAGTGCGGATCGTTGCTTTTCTTTTGCGGGCAGTGCACTTGGGCGATAACTTTTGGCGTCTGCAGCGCCGTTTCGCTTGTTTTTTTCTGTCAGGTAGTTGGGCGGGTAGGTAGGGGTGGTGATACCGGGGCAACGTGGGGTGCGGAGTCGAAAGAGGCCCGTTTTCTTTTAGTCGCGGGTTCGTGGACTGAATCTACAAGTGTGTGGAGACTTACGTGTTCTCTCTCTCTCTCTCACAAAAAAAAAAAAAAAAAAAGTGGCAGTGAATACTATTTCCATGTTCTGTCCAATTTTGCTCATCTTACACACACACACACAGACACACACACAGACACACACACAGACACACACACATACACACACCTCGACATTGCCATGGTTCACCAAGTGAACAAAATGGGATTGAATCTTTCCATAAAACATGGAACATTGAAACATTGTCAAAAACCGAAAATATGGCAGTGTATATTTTCATGTTCTAATGACAGATTCATTCTCATTCTGCTCATCCTATGGATGGAAAACTCTCTCTCTCTCTCTCTCTCTCTCTCTCTCTCTCTCTCTCTCTCTCTCTCACGCGCGCGCGCGCGCGCGCGTGCACCCTCAGGCCCCCCGGCTATGGCCGCCAGCGCCCTGTATGCAGGCAGCGCCCTACTGCCTAGCGCTAGCCTGCGTCCCTCAGCCTTAGCGCAGCGCAGCATGCATGCAACGCAGCAGCGTGCCGGCCTTGCTCGCAATGGCTAGATGGTGTAGTTATAAAGGCCGGGTATGGGCGACGCAGGTAGGGACTAATGAGACTCATTTGGGAATGCCACTAAGTTCCACTAGTTCCACGGGCACTTCCGGTTCAACAGGTTCTAGACAGTCTTCTAGTCAAATGGCGGGCTCGCAGTTTAGCCCGTTGACCCCACGTGAGAGGGAGCTCAGGGAGATCCAACAGGTCGAGAGGCTCCGCCAGAAGTTAGAGGAGGACCTGAAAAAGGCAACCGATAGGGAAAGAGAGATAAAAAATAGAGCAGCCAGGCACATAAATCCAGAATGCAAAATCACACTGAAGTCCAAGTAGTCCAAGCCAAAGCAGATAGCACAGTGGAACCAAGTAACCATCTAATTGAGAATGATACAGAAGAATCATGAGTCAATGTCCATGCCCAACAGGGCAACACCAACAGCATAACCCAAATGTAGCTCTCTCTTGTGAATGGCGCCAAGCGCCCTATCAGTACTACAGCCTAGCCTACAACTACAGCAATGAAAGCAACCAGACAAAGTGATGATGTCAACACCAATGCCGACCTCCACCTCCACCAGGTACGTGTCCTCTTCACCCACACTCTCCCTTGTACCTACACAGCGCCCTTCACCTCCGAAGAACCACCTTCGCCCTCACCTCCCCTGCGCCTTCAGGCAGCCCGGCTATGGCCGCCAGCGCCCTGTATGCAGGTAGCGCCCTACCGCCTAGCGCTAGCCTGCGTCCCTCAGCCTTAGCGCAGCGCAGCATGCCTGCAACGCAGCAGCGTGCCGGCCTTGCTCGCAATGGCCAAGATCCCTGCCCACTTGCCCTGCTTGCCTATATGCCAGTGCAGCGTGTGGGCGGCCTCCCTTCAGCCTGCGACCGGGACCCAGAGGCTGAACCCAGGCCGATACAGTTGAGGCCCGGTGGATGCAGTTGCACCTCTTCCGTCAAGGCCTGCTGCCAGATTCAGATAGTGGGCCGATTTCCCTTCGGCATTTTCGGCCTCTATACCCAGCATGCATTGTCGGCCTCACGTTCAAGTACCCAGGGCCTAACTAACTCAGAGGCCCTGGGTTTTCAGCATTTGCTGAAATCCGAGACTTGGTGCACTCCAACCAACTGGCGTGCTGCAACTGTATGGACCCCACTTCGTGAAATGTTGGCACAGAGGGCTCTTGTTGATTTGCTGGCCCGCCTTCCCTTAGGGCGGGCACGAGGCTTGCTGGGGCCTTACCCCAGAACATGTACATCAGGGCAAGGCCCCTACTTGAGGGCTCAATCCTCACATACATTGTCAAGTGCTTGGTGAACCAAAAATGATTTTGCCTAAGCAAATACAAAGGATATGCAACAAAAAACTATGTTAAAGTTGGACTGAATTAACTAAAATATGGAGAAGTGGCAATAATCACGTAAAAGACTTTCTTTTTTTTTTTAAATTCAGCAAACGGAGGCTAGGGCGCTGTAGCAATTCTAGTAGATGTAGAAGTGTGAGCAGCACGACTGACCAACTCAACACACAACCGTGCAGGGCGCAGTGAGCACATGTGTGAGTAAACAATCTCGGAGAATGACTCTCATGAAGATACAGTAGAAAACACCGAGAGATTAGCATACCCCGTGACTATGGCTAACGCCCCACCCTTGTCGCCAAATAGGAGCGATACACCAAAGAGCTGAGCGACTGGCAGTCCCCTACTAGTTTCGGCCACCGTCAGACGCAGCTTTGTCAGGGGGATCCGAGATGCTAAGAATGCCCTATGGCACTATGCCTATCCTATGCATACCCGGACTGGGCCGGACGTTTCCATCACATCGCTTCCCATCTAGGTTCCTCCAGCGCAACCGCTGGCCCAAGGACCCGTTGTGACCGAGTCCAGTATCCTGCCGACTTCGTTGCGTACCGGAACCGATCAACTCCTGCTGACAGTCAAACCTGGTCCAAACCCGGATCTCATCACTCAGGCAGCAGTGGTCGGTCGCCTCTACATGTCTGAACACGCCGACAATCCACACTGAGTTCGGACAAATTCCTTCCTAAGCGTCTTCGGAAAAGCCAAAAAAAAAATCATAGTCAACTAAGAATGTTCTCTATCAACTCTTTTTTCTACTACAAGGCATAATTAGTAAGAAAGTACGAGATCCAATGTCTCGCCTTTATCGCGTGGACTCACTAAAGGCAGGCCTTTGGCTTGGACCACTTCGTGTCCTGAGGTTGCCTGGAAGTCCACAAGGGAAACTGGTCACTTGATCCACCGACACCCCAGGTAAGAGAAAGCAAGTGGAGTTGGTGAGCCTTGTAATGACCAGCTATTCTACTACTCTGAGTATTCTCCTTGAACATTCTACCTCTTTTCTCTTCCACCTGTCTCCCACTGCTCTTCCACCACTCCCTCCTCCTCCTTAGCATAAACAGGAATAGAAAGGAAGGAAAAAAGCACAACATAACATTTCCCCCACCCACCCCTCCCTTCTCTCTCCCTCTCTCTCTCTCTCTCTCTCTCTCTCTCTCTCTCTCTCTCTCTCTCTCTCTCTCTCTCTCTCTCTCTCTCTCTCTCTCTCTCTCTCTCTCTCTCTCTCTCTCTCTCTCTCTCTCTCTCTCTACACTCACACACAAACACAGGGCCATCATGCACTTTTTCAACATGGCGCCATGAAGGATTGGGCGGTTGCCCTTCATTTTGACAGGCCGGCGTTCTCTCTCGCCAGTTTGCGCATGGCAGCATCTTCCACCCAATTTCCTATGCGGCCACAAAGGGCTTAATTTGGCAGCAAATCTTCAAAACTTCTCTGATTAGTGGCTGGTGGCATGGTAGTATCTGCCGACGGCCTGGATGAGGGAATTTATAAAGTAGCAAATGTTTATAGGGGTATTGGGGGGATGGGCGGTAGGGGGGGAGATATGCAATGTTGGCATGTGGCGCTTGCCCTACCACTTCTCTAAGGCTCCAAACCTCTCCTCCTCAACATCACATTGAGGACATGGCACCTCACCCCAAAGGGGCAAAAACACAGAACAACAATTCATTCACCCCACATTAATTTCCTTCCCCTTCCTTCTTTATCACTGATTGCTGTTTAGCATCTGGATTCATCAGTCAGAGCATACTCACACTAGCACAATTTTATATGAATCTGGCCATAAGCACCGCCCTAATTGAATATCTGACCGAAATTACGTCCAGGAATCGGTGACAAAGTCCTAGGGTCAGTATGTACCGAGTCCGGCCACCACAGTAAGTGTGCTCCTGCACCATTGGCATCACCGAAAGCGACCACATCCATCGGTCATTTATCCGCAGTTACGTCTCTTCATTATCATCACATTGCCGAAAACGACCACATCCATAGGTCATTTATCCGCAGTTACGTCTCTTCATTATCATTCACGATCCTTCGGTTTCCGTCCTCATCACTCGTCATTCTTCGGTTTCCGAGTCCACCCTGCGGCCTCCCAAAACAGGTCCAGCAAACACCATTTCGAGATTGCAGCGGCCGCCAACAAGCCACCCAGGTGCGCACCTGCTATCCCATTGACCATTGTATCTTGGCCAGCAAGGTACAACCCCTTAATGGGGGTCTCGGGACAGAGGATCTGCTGGACCTCTGGAGCGAACCTCACTGGGGAGAAAGCCAGTCCATAGGGGGCTCCCTGAAGAGACTTTAAGTAGTGCTCAATCGTCAACGGGGTCCCAAGATCGACGTAGTCAACCTTGCCCTCAAGCTGAGGAAATCGCTCCAGCACCATCGCCGTGAGCAATGTGGCCAGGTCCTTCTTTATGTCCTCGTAATCGGTTCCCCTTTTCCCTTTGACAGAACCCGCCCATTTCTGAAATTGGCTGTAGTCGGTAGGGGCAAGGACACAACACGTCGAGCCGCCCGGATGTTGTACTTCGGACTCCGGGTCCTTCACCGACGGAAATGATATAAATAGGCAATCTATCTCAAAGTTTCCCTCGTTGCTTCTCTCCGGCTCTTTTACGAGTTTTACTTCCTCAGAGTCTAGACCGTGCCTGCTGTTGACGCCGTTGGCACTTTGCAGCGATCTTCGTTCTTCCTCCGGCAGTCCTTTCGTATCCACAATACACCACGACAACTCCTTTGCCACCGTGTAATGCGCAGAAGCAGCATCGACCTTCTCGTCTTCACCTTGACTGTTCGACCTCTTGCCCTCGTTATCACCACCTTGTACTCCCACATGACTCTGCGGCCTCCGTTCGAGCCGGATGCGTCTATCAAACTGGTACGAGGGATGGAACCACAAGTTCCCCGAAGGCAAGCCTAAGTCCTCGCTGCTACCCTTTAACCCCAAGAACAGACTGAACATGCTCCGTGACATGCCGACCTTACGCTCCAACAACTCTACTCTCTTTGCGATCTCGCCACCCGAGTCCACATCAGACAGAAACCTTTTGAAAGTTACCAATGCGCCTGCTGAGGAGACGACAGTAGGGCATGGAACATCCATCACCTCTCCACTTCTCGTCCTCACCCTTACTCCTTCGACGGTTTTCGACCGCTGATTGACCAGCACTTGCTGGACCTCCACTCTCGTGAGCACCTTGCCTCCTGCGCCTTCGATAATCGGCACCATCGCGTTTGCCAGGGATATGGAACCACCGCACGGATACACCGCTCCAGAAAGATAGTGCATTAGAATAGCGTAGGCCTGGAGGAAGGACGATTCCTTTGGTGGGAGGTTGTAGTTGGCCCACTGCGACAGGAGCACGCCAATGAGCTCCTCATTGTCCGTGAATTGCCGCAACGTCTCGTACGCTGTTTTCGATGCTACATTGGCAACAGGGCAGAGAAGAGCGCGTGCCAGAAATGGGAAGCGCGACCGCAGCCATTCTGGAAGCAATTTCCACAGTACTAGTTTTCCAAAGGCCATCTCCACCTTGCGTTGCAATCCCAGGATCTGACGCACCGCTGCCGCATCTGCAGGAAAGCGGCGATTGAGCTCGCCAGCCAGGGCGCTCTTACCTTCCCGAAACGAAAAAGGTTCAGCATCGCCAAATACAATTTTATCGTAACAGTTGGGGTCCATCTTTGCCCACGTCACATTCCAACCAAGACATGCATTAAAGATCCTGGAGAAGGGATCGGAAGCATCCATCAAGGTTGCACCGAGATAGTGCAAGCCCGTGTCAAAGACATAGCCGTTTTTGCTGAAAACATGTGTACACCCACCTGCTTTTCCGTGTTGCTCTAGCACAAGAACGCGCTTTCCAACACGCGACAATGCCACTGCAGCGGTCAAACCACCAATGCCAGAGCCAATAACGATCACATCTACTTTCTCAGGGACCAACTTCGGCTTGAAAACCTGTGACACACAAGGTAACAGCAACACCCCCGAAAGGGACGACAGAACCATGGAAGAACAGAACCAAGTCCAATAGCAGATTTTAATGCTTGGGCTGCGAAGAATTCCACCCCTCCCTTTCACTTCAACTGAATAGGCAGAAACAGACCCTACCATGCTCCACTTGCCAGACTTGAAATCATGACCTAACTATTACCACCAGCCCTAGATACGCATCATTATTACCCCCCCCCCCCCCCCCCCCAAAAAAAAAAAAAAAAAAAAAAAAAAAAACAGCGACAAGACCATGCATAACCTTCCACATCATGTAACCTGGCAGCTGGCCCGTGCAAAAAAAAAAAAAAAAAACACTTGAAAGGCAAACGGCAACACATCCGTACTTCTCGAATAGAAAGCAGGGTCCCCACTGCATTTTCTGCCATTGCTGCTGCAGTTATTGTGATGTAATCTTTCTCAACTAACTTTCTTTTTTTTTTTTTTTCCCATCCTCAGCTAACTTTTCCTTTTTCCTCCTTCCAAAATGCTCAGCCGAGTCTTTTTTTTTTTTTTTTTTAAACAATCAGTCCATACATTTCATTTCAAAAAGAGGAAGTTGATTGAGGCCGGGGTCCCCACAATTCTACCCGGAGCTATCCTGGCAGCGTCGGCCAGTTTAGCTTATGGCCCCAGCCTAACTGGAGACCAAATACACCAAATGACAATTGAACTACTATCTTTCTTTCTTTTGCCATCTCGTAACTCTTCCTCCAGCTTATTCGTACGCCTCTTCCCTTTCTAAACCATCGCCTGCTGTAAGTACTTACTACCCTAATCCGTCTACCTCGACGACCAGATCTATCAGATCTGGTGGAACGCATCATACCGTTCCTTATTCCTCGGCACTCACCTACTGGACCACTGCGTCCCTAAAGAACCGAGTGCCCCGGCTATAGCCTTGGTACTCTCTAGCCTCCCCCCTACTGACCGAGATACCCTGGTCCCCTCTACTGATTCGTCCTCCTCCCCTACCCCTACCCACATCCCTTCCTAGTCTACTCACGCACTTAACCACAGGAGACTACCAATCCTCGAGAAGAGTGAACACCCACCAATTGGTTTCCCTTGGCCCAGGATCTCAAGAACCACCAAAGATGTCTCCTTGGGCCCCTGCCGCTCCTGACTTTCCTGCACCAGTCAGCCCAGATGGCTCTTCTTAGACCCTGCTTGATTCTTGCTTTGATCTCCCAATCAGAAAGTGGCCGTCCTTCAAATCTGGACCGGTTCCTGTCTGCCCAAATGACCGAACAAATGACTGCCCTGGCCACATGGGCCACATACGGCCGAGTCTTACTTCTTCCCCTCTTTCAAAATCCTTAGCTGTAATTAAAAAAAAAGGGAAAATTTTCGAAATGCCCCTGAAGTTTGCGTTTATTTGCAGTGTGCCCCTGTGAAGGCCGACTTACCCTGTTATGCCCCTCGGGCCTCTGAAATTTTCTGCAGGCCCCTGTCAGCATGGGGCGTAACTTTCCAATATGCCCTTACTGGACCTCTGGTGGCGTTTCGTCGGTCCGTCCTTGAAATGCCCTCACGAGGGGCACGCATCTTTCTCTGATGCCCTTGCAGCAGTGGGGACAGGAATTCAAACTCGAAAATGGTAGGTATTTCACGCGCCGCCAGGGAAAAATGGTGCAGCAGTCAGCCTTCAAGTTCGCCGCGCCATGGATCGCTGCTCCCTCCTCCTCCACCCATGCTCATCGCCCTCCTCCCTCCTCCTCCATCCATGCTCGTCGCTCTCTTCTCTTCTCCTGCAGCCTCCATCCTCTATCCCCGTCCATCTTCGTAGTCCTTGTCCTCCCTACTCCTCTTCCCTCCTCTTCCCTCGTTCTCCCTCCCCCAACTTTCTCCTCGTCACCCCTCCCTCTCCTCCTCCTCCTCGATTGTGGACTCCTAACCATCACCATGGCCGTCTTCTTGTTGTGATCGCCCGTGCACGTGCGCACGTCTGTATGTG